GCACCTCTTCCCTGCCCTAATGTAGATGTGTTACAGCCCAGATCCCGGCTGTACTAGGCCTCAGCTAGAGTGGCTCAAAGGCTGGAAGCAAGAATCATCGGAAGGCTTTCCCACGTCGCATCTCTGACACCTGAGCTGGGAGATTCGAGCAGCTGAGGGCTTCAAAAGCAACAGCCCGTCTAGCATCTTTGCCTCTATCTACCCTCTTCATCACCACAGTTTCAGAATATTGCCTATATGTCAGCTAAAGATTCCAAGGGAGAGGGGGAAAAAGAAAAAAGAAAAAGAAAAAAGAAAAGAAGTGGGGGCACTGGTGATAGATGGGGAGAGGAGAATTAACAATCAAGGTGACAACGTAGATAAATCACAATGTATTATGCTCACTGAAAGAAGCCAAACTCAAAAGATTACATAGCGTATAATTTCATTTATATAACATTTCAGAAAAGGCATAACTATAGGGGGGTGGGGGAAACAAATCAGTGGTTGCCAGGGTCTGGGGATGGGTGGAGAGACTGACTTCAAAGGAATACAAGGGCATTGTTTGGAATAATGGAATTTCCATACCTTGATTGTGGCAGTGGATATTCATGTATTTCTCAGGTTTGTATTAGTCAGAATTCATAGAACTATACACTAAAATTTTACTCATTATAAAATTTTACTTGTATGTAAATTATACTTCAATAAACCTGAACCCCCCCACCACCAAAGCAATTAAAATTTCTGAGGAATATGTAGAAGATATAATTCAGATAATAGTGAACTGAAAACCCAGTCAAGAAATATACAACCACACATAGATTTAGGAAGGGGCCACTAGATGGTGGTATTAATTTTTGTAATACAGCCCAGGGAAAATCTTAACGCTCAAAGATCACAGACCTGGAAGTGGAGCACTTTTGGGGAAAGTTTCCTGTAAATCCATTGTTGTAACTTCTGATAGCAAGCCTTGAGCTGCATTGGTTTCTGTCATTTTGCTACGCCAGGTCTCCCAGCCTCCCACTGATTCTGGGAAGCCATTAATATCCTTCCAGTAAAATTCTATTTTTCTGTAGTTCACTTTTGTTTTTTTGTGTTTTGTTTTTTTTCTGAAACAGACTGAATAACAGAACTAAAAATGGCTGTTGACCAATTTATTTTTTGTTTGTTTTGTTTTGTTCTTATTTTTCACTGGAGGCCCAATGCATGAAATGTGTGCACGGGGGCGGGGGTCCCTCAGCCCAGCCTGCACCCTCTCACAATTCAAGATCCCTCGGGGAATGTCCAGCTGCCAGTTCAGGGATTGGGCCTAAATTGGCAGTCAAACATCCCTCTTGCAATCCGGGATCACTAGCTCCTAACTGCTTGCCTGCCTGCCTGCCCTATTACCCCTAACCACTCGCCTGCCTGCCTAATCGCCCCTAACTACTCTGTCTCAGCCCCCACCGCCTCAGCTTTGTTTAGAAGGATGTCTGGAATGTTGTCCAGAAGGCCGTTTGGCTGTCTGTTCTAATTAGCATTTTATGCTTTTATTATTATAGATAATAGAGAATTTTGATCATGTACAAAATAAACAGAATCTTACCTAATAATAGAGTAATATGCAAATTGACCATCACTCCAACACACAAGATGGCTGCCCCCATGTGGTCAAAAATAGCCACCACAAAATGGCCAGCAGGAGAGGGCAGTTGGGAAGGACCAGGCCTGCAAGGGAGGACAGTTGTGGATAATCAGGCCTGCAGGGGAGGGCAGTTAGGGGTGACCAGGCTGGCAAAGGAGGGCAGTTGGGGGCAACCAGGCCTGCAGGGGAGGACCGTTAGGGGTGACCAGGCCTGCAAGGGAGGATAGTTAGGGACAACCAGGCTGGCAGGGGAGGGCAGTTAGGAGTCAATCAGGCTGGTAGGGGAGTGGTTAGGGAGTGATCAGGCTGACAGGCGGAGCGTTTAAGGGCAATCAGGCAGACAGGCAGGCGAATGGTTGGGAGCCAGCAGTCCAAGATTATGAGAGGGATGTCTGACTGCCTGGAGATCCCCTGAGGGATCCCAGATTGGAGAAGCTGCAGGCTGGGCTGAGGGACATCCGCCTCCCCCCCCCCTCCCCCCCTCGCCCCATGCACGAATTTCATGACCCGGGTCTTGATTTCATGACACATACACACACACACACACACACCCAGTGACTGGAATGGCAAACAACCCGGGTCTTTAGTGTATATATATATATATATATATATATATATATACCCCCCCAGCGACTGGAATGGCAAACAACCAGAATGTGGCTATGATGCACACTGTGGCAGCCAACCAGCCTGATCTGGACCCTGATTGCCACCCCCCACCCCAAGGCTGGCCCCACCCCCCAATCAGTCTCCAACACCCTGAGCTGGGATGGGGCGGCTGACCACCTACACACAGCCCCTCTCCCCCAGCCAGCCCAGCCTAATGGGTTCCCATCAGGGCAGGCTGACTGGACCCCACCCATGCACAAATTCGTGCACTAAGCCTCTAGTGGTATAATGAACTCCCAATATCAGCAAACATCAATAAGCATTAATAATCAATAATCTGTTTTTCTTTTCTTTCTTTTTTTTTTTTTTTATTGCTCTACTTATTTATGCATCTTTGTTTGATTCTTATATGTGCCCTGACCAGGGATAAAACTCACACCTTGCTATATCTGGATGATGCTCTAACTAATTGAGCTATCCAGCTGGTGCAATAGTCTGCCATTCTTAATTTATCAAACCCCCACCCCAACACCCATGCAAGTAGTTTTTTACAATTCCTTTTTTTTAAATTTTTTTTAAAAAATATATTTTATTGATTTTTCACAGAGAGGAAGGGAGAGGGATAGAGAGTTAGAAACATCGATGAGAGAGATACATCGACCAGCTGCCTCCTGCACACTGAGCCAAACCGGTTTCGGCACAATTCCTTTTTTAATGAGATAAAATTTACATATTTTGAAAAGCACAGATTTTTAAAAGTAGACCTTTTTGAAAAAGCAGTTTTAGGGGGGAAAAAAGCAATTTTAGGTTCACAGCATAATTGAGCAGAAAGTACAGAGAATAATTATTATTAACTGTCCCATCTCCATACATAGCCTCCTCCATTATCAACATCTCTCACAGAGTGGTACATTAGTGACAATTGATGAAGCTACATTGACAATATCATCATCCAAAGTTCATAGTTTACATTAGGGTTGACTTATATATGCTACAGGTTTGGATAAATATATGACTGCCATTATAGTCAGTATGGTCTCATACAAAGTAGTTTCACTTCCCTAATCTTTATGCTCATCCCTTCTTTTCCTTAATCCCTGCTGAAATGCACAAATTTTAACTGTACAATTCCAATTTTATTCTAAGGGACTTGGTTTGGAAGTGTTCGATAGCATAGAAGCAAAAAGAAAAAGGAAGTTTGTATTTAATTTTGTCAACCTACACCTAACCCGGAGAATAAGTATCAAGAGTCAGTTTGGTCAACCATAACCAGGTAGCCTAAAAAATTAACTCATCCTTTGTTGTCAGTTACAAGATATATTGGTTATTGTATTGGACTCTCTGGATAGGCCTGTAAGTTGTTGAGGAAAATTGTATTGTTTTGAATGGCTTCCGACAACATATTTGCTCTAGGCTCCATTTGTTCATCTTTCTGGCAGTTCAGGATATTGGTAGAGCTCTCCTCCAACACCATATTTCAAATCAATCAATGTATATTACAAATAATGCTATTGGTTCTCGAAGGTTATTTTCTCTTATCATTTCAATAATGCATACATGTTGAGTTAACATGAAACAAAACTTTAATATTGGCTCCTATAAGACCTTTCACAGTAGCTTAAAAATAGTGGTATGTAATGAGTTTTATAATCCCAACGCACTCAACTGGTGCATGGTGTCACCTAGACCCCAACTCCCCTACATGTCTTCCTCTATGTTGGAAAAAAAAAAAAAACGGACTACAGAGAAGTCTAAATAATCTCTGGAACAGATTCTTTCATTCTATAAATGGGCTTCGTAAGGCATCGCTTCACCCTTTTTAGCTAGGCCTTTTTCTACGCTTTTGAGGCCACAAAGCACCTTGCCTGAGGCTAACACACTTTAAACTTTAAACAACTCTCCTCTCCCGGTTTCTGTCCGGCCCACGAAAGCAAGGGCATTGCACAATTCTCAGCATGCAGTTCGGGCATTGCCCTCCAACAGCGCAAAGACCAACCTCCCTGGGCCGCTACTACTTCAGAGGCTGCTCAGCACAGAGCAGGGGCGGAGCCTGGGCTCAACACCCCGTCACGTGGCAGCTGGGGCCCAATGACCTAGGCCCACGCGCTCCCCAAGGCCGCGTGCGCTCACAGAGCCCAAGCTCTGCCGTCGCCCCGCCCCCGCCGCTCTGTGCGCCCGCGTTAACCCTCCCGCGAGATCCCGGCCGCCAGAGTCGTGGGTTCCTACCAGGTGTCGTTTTCCAACTGGGCCCCGGAGCGCGCCCTGATTGGCTGGCTCGGAAGGCGGGACCCGGCTTATTTGAGAAGAGGACCACTTCCTGAAGCATGAGGCAGGAAGTCATCCGCTGGAGTCCCGTGGAGAAAGTGCTGTCAGCCGCTTCGGGCAGCGGCGCGAGCGTGAGCCCGAGCCCGAGGCCGGTGCCGAGACCGGCCGTTCAGTCTCGCCGCTAGTTAGGCTCCAGTTTCCATCGTAGCACCACGGCCCCGTCCCCCATCCCGGAGCCCGGCGCGGCTGCCCGGGGGGCTCCTCCAGCCTCCTTGCCGCCGCTCCAAAGGGGCACCTGCCTGCCTGGTCGGCGCCTGGGTCTCCAGCTTGGGGACTGGCTTCCGGCTTCAGCGCTCCGCGCCGCAGTAAGAAGCACCCTGGTCCCCCCGGCGCCCTGACTCCCTCTCTGAACACAAACCCCGGTCCAAGAGGCAGCCTTGGACCTCGAACTAAGACGGATCCGAGACGCCCAGCCCTGGCATCATCATCATCTCCGACGGGGCTCTGCATCGTCTCTACCATGTCCCCCACCGTCTCCCACAAGGACAACAGTCGGCAGCGCCGGCCGGGGACTTTCAATCACTCTCTGGATATGAAGAGCGGGCCCCTGCCGCCGGGCAGCTGGGATGACTGTCATCCGGACGTGGCGGGCGGAGAAGGGGACAAAGAAGCTCTTCTCTGGGACACTGGCATCAGTGGTTTCTCAAAGCCCCCGCGGAGCTGCCGGGCCGAGCTAAGCAGCATTCTGCTGTTGCTTTTTCTTTACGTGCTGCAGGGCATTCCCCTGGGCCTGGCGGGGAGCATACCGCTCATTCTGCAGAGCAAAAATATTAGCTACACCGATCAGGCTTTCTTCAGCTTGGTCTTCTGGCCCTTCAGTCTCAAGTTGCTCTGGGCCCCGCTGGTTGATGCAGTTTACTTTAGGAACTTCGGTCGGCGGAAGTCTTGGCTTGTCCCCACGCAGTATGTCCTGGGGATCTTCATGATGTATCTGTCCACGCAGGTGGACCGATTGCTCGGGAACACTGATGGCAGAGCCCCCGATGTGGTGGCCCTCACGGTGACCTTCTTTTTGTTTGAGTTCCTGGCGGCCACACAGGACATCGCGGTGGATGGTTGGGCATTGACTATGTTATCCCGGGAGAACGTGGGTTATGCTTCGACCTGCAATTCGGTGGGCCAAACAGCAGGCTACTTTCTGGGCAATGTTTTGTTTTTGGCCCTTGAATCTGCCGACTTTTGCAACAAGTATTTGCGGTTTCAGCCTCAACCCAGGGGGATCGTTACTCTCTCAGGTATTTACACTAATATGCTGTTAGGTTTATCTTACGTGTCTGAATCCCTTTTGACAGCGTAAGACATGGAAGGGAAGCTCATTACTTAATTCACCAGAAATCATTTTATGGGAGATGACCCGAGGTAAGCTTCCCGTTCCACTAAAATGAGCTTCAGCCACAAGGACTACATTGGAGTAATCTTAATTGATCAGTACTCTGCAGTAAGCAGGGAGAGACAGCCTACGCAAAACAGTGCAGAGTGGCATACACAACTCAGCGTAGGAGTCTGTTGACTAATACACATTTTTTAACAGTATGGCCAATGTGACGACACGAATCCAATCTGACATCCATGGTTCACATTTTACTTTTCTTGTTCCTTGGATTGAAATTTCTAGCTGCGTGCTTTATGGTCCATTTCCCCTATTCTTACACCAAGAGTACTTAGCCCTCTTGTGAAAGGAATGGGCTTCATTTATTCAAACATTAACTAGTGGGCTCAGTGACAGACTTCTAAGGGCCTGCTATAAAGCAGAGTCCAGCCCACAAGGAACAGGAAAGATTCATTTTAGGGGAGCACAAAGTTGCTGCTTATTAACTGCTGGTGGGAGTTAGATTTCATCAGCAGATATTTGACCTTGTTCAATTGTAAGATTCCATGAAGTGGGTAAGTGGAATTCCAGAATGCCCAACACCAGGTGAAAATGCACTGTGAAGAAGCAACGCACAAAAAAAGTACAGGGTGCCAGTGATGTTCAGAGCGCCTGAGGCAGTAATTGTGGAGCCTGGCTTTGGGGAAATAGTGCTGCAAGAAAGGTAGTGACCAAATGAGTAAGATTTCATTTAAATACTATGAGAAAGAGCTTGAATTTTATGTAGTAAGAAATTGGATATAAGTTCTACAAAATTTCCTCTTTTCCTGCATGAGTAAAATACATGCCTCTGTAAGGTTTTCTGAGGATTTTTTTTTTTAAACTTTCCTAACAACTGGGAAGCAGAAGTAAAATTACCAATATCAGTAATAACCTACATTAGGAATGCAGTAGAATTCTTCATTCTGGTAGTGATGATGAATTTAAACAGCTAAACTTTCATCTTCCCAGTACTAGATTAGGAATTCCCAACAGCATAAATGTCAGGTAGGAGTGTGGTGAGGGAAGTGTAAGCGTTATACTATTTGGGGAGTGTCTTGAGGAGGGAGGGATCCACAACTGAACTACTCATTGCCTGAAATCCCCCTGTGACATTGAAGGAAAGCTCATTATTGCTAGTGGCTCACTATACACCCCCCCCTCCCCGTAGAACCCTCTTTCTGCCACCTCAAACTGCTCTCGTGATGAAATGATAATTGTACTTTTCATCAGTTGGTTTGAAGCCAAAAATGTTTGAGAGCTCGTTGCTTTGCAATAGATAGATTTGTCTCTGAATGTTCTGGGGTCCCATCCCTGCTCTATGGATAAATCTTTGCCTAAAAATATTGTGTGACTGCATCAAATTGGCACCTTGTTGCTTTTTATATGTTTTGCTTTTCATTGTGTACTGGACTGTTCAGGCTACCAGGAAAGATTACTGAGATAATGTGTTACTTAATATACAAAAGTCTCAGTAGAGAAAATAAGATTTAAGGGGCTACGAAAACTAAATTACTAACAAGGTAAATTATAACTTTCTCTTAAATATGATATAAGAGTGAATGATAAAACATCATTCCCGAGAATGGCATTCAGGAGCCATCCTATATAATAAAAGCCTAATATGCAAATCAACCGAACAGCAGAATGATCAGTCACTATGATGAGCACTGACCACCAGGGGCAGGCACTCAACACAGGAGCTGCCCCCTAGTGGTCAGTGAGTTTCCATATGGGGAGTGCCACTCAGCCAGAAACCAGGCTCGGTTGGTGAGCACAGTGGCAGTGGCGGGAGTCTCTCCTGCCTCTGAGGCAGTGCTAAGGAGCAGCAAGCTGAGCCTTTAGGAGCAGTGAGCAGGCAGGCAGTAGGAGCAGGTAGGCAGTAAGAAGAGAGGGCTCCTGGACTGGGAGAGAGCGCAGGCCGGGCTGAGAAACTTCCCCCGCCTCCAAGTGCACGAATTCATGCAAAGGGCCTCTAGTTATAATTATATCCTCCCTTATCAAGAGCTGTTCCCTAATGGGAAGATTGAAATTGTGCTATTGGAGTTTTATTTACACTGATTTTTTTTATTTTGAATAGCCTTTTATTCTGTGGAATTTGAACTTTGTTCTCTAGTAAATGGTAGAAATAGCTTACTATTTAATTTAACTTTTTATGTCTATAGTGGATTGCTGTTTCTGGTTCAAACATTTTAGTAAGTTAAGAGTTGAAGACTTTCTGAATTTTCATTTGCCTCTTTATAATTGCACATATCACATTTGTAGCCTTGTATCTTCTGAAACTTAGTATAACTAAGAAAAAACAGTGATTTTGAGGAATTTAAAGAGCACAGAAATAATCATGAGGGAAATAAAATTGCTTAGGTAATAAAAGAAGAGCCAAACACTGATTACAGATGCCTAGAAAATCAGGAAATTAAAAGTAGGCATAGTTTTTTTTTGTGTGTGTGTGAAATTCTAAAATATGTTCTGTGATTAACATTTTGAGTGTTACAGATACACTCAAAGTGGAAAATATTGAGAAAGAATAGTTTTTGCCATCTAAAAAACATTCTAAAGAATAAAAATGGAACAAGAAGGACAGGTTGAGATAGAACCCCTTAGAAACGAAACCATGACTATGCTGAGATTGGCTTCGGTGCCTTCAGGACCCAGTACTGAACTCAGAAGCGGACCTCTGTCCGGTCACCTTTGGTTTTCAAGGATCTTAGCAAAAAGGGATGACTTTTTAAGCTGCAAGAACTGACTAACCCAGAAGAACATAGAGTTAATAACAATGTCTTCTGACTTGAAAGAAGGATATATTTCAGTTCCTTTATTATAGATGAGAAAACTGCAGCCAAGTGGCTAATTAGAGGCAGAGATATTTCTACAGGATTAAATTTCCTGACTCCTTAAATATAATATCTGTGTAATGTAACAGAATACTAAAATATAATATGTTCGTATCATCGAACTTTTCTACTAGAGAAAATTGGCACTATGATTGCTGATCCATAAAATGCATCCATCAACCTACCCCTGGAATATATAATGCCCAGAAGTGAAAGATTTAAAAGGATTTTTTTTGTTTGTTTGTTTTAAAAAATATATTTTATTGATTTTTCACAGAGAGGAAGCGAGAGAGGGATAGAGAGTTAGAAACATCGATGAGAGAGAGATATCGATCAGCTGCCTCTTGCACACCCCCTACTGGGGATGTGCCCGCAACCAAGGTACATCGAACCCAGGTTCTTTCAGTCCACAGGCAGATGACTGGAATCGAACCCAGGTCCTTTCAGTCCGCAGGCAGATGCTCTATCCACTGAGCCAAACCAGTTTCAGCTGTTTGTTTGTTTTTTTAAGTGATGCATGTTATTCATTTACTCAACCATGAGTGCCTATTTGGTGCTAGCCAGTGTTATAATTTAATGAATAAGACCTGGGAATTCTCTGCTCCTAAGGAATCTTTCTATAGTCTATAATGAAGGTTTGTAAACCAAAATGATGCCTTATCATTGATATTTCTATATCTCACTCCCTCGCCTTTCCTCTCGGAAATCAATTTTTTTAAATATATATATAAAAATAAAGGCAGGGAGTTTCAACCCCAATAAATCGTTGCCTGTGGTAACAGATCCTAGGATTGCTAGATTTTATTAGTATTCAAAAGCTGAAATTTTCTCTTTTTTGTTTTTTTCTCTTCTAATTTTAAAACACTGGTTTGATTCATATAAAATATGTGTTTTGACTAGGTCCAGCTGGTAGTTGAGGACAATTCCTATATAAGCACTGGTGACAATCCTATATAGTTAAAGGGTAATATGCAAATTGACCAAACGACAGAATGACCAGTTGCTATGATGCACACTGACCACCAAGGGGCAGATGCTCAACACAGGATCTGCCCCCTGATGGTCAGTGCACTCCCACAGGGAGAGCGCCACTCAGCCAGAACCCCAGAAGCTGGGCTCACAGCTAGCAAGCGCAGCAGGAGCCTCTCCCGCCTCAGGGGCAGTGCTAAGGATGGCAGTGCTCCCCACAGGCCTAAGCTGGCAGTCGGACATCCTCTGAGGGCTCCCGGACTGTGAGAGGGCATAGGCCTGGCTGAGGGACACACCTCCTCTCTCCAGCGCACGAATCTCATGCAACAGGCCTCTAGTAATGAATAAAAGAAGTGATTGCAATGGGTTTGGGAGCAGGGAGAAGGATAGTCTGATATCAGAGAAGACAGTTAAACATATTAACAGTTTATGAGTCAGCTTGTTTATAGATAAGCATACACATTAGGAGTTAAAGGGAACAGTTGCTTTGAAAAATGGATGCTCTAAGTGTGAAGCTAATCAAACTGGTGGTGATAATAGTAACAGTATGTATTTTTAAAACATTCGTGCTATGAACTATGAAGAGATCAGGACCAATTCTTTGTCTTGCTTTCTGAAGCAGTGTTCATTAATATATTTTATGTAACTAAAATCATATTTAGAATTGGGTAGAACTGACTGACTTATTTCTAGTTAGGTCAATTATTCTTATATAGGCTGTAATACATACTTTAACATCTATATCTAAGCTTAAAACACCTTCTTATATTCTCAAAGATGAAACTATAGAGATGGAGAACAGATTGGTAGTTGCTAGGGGTTGTGGATGAGAAGAAGGTGATGGACAGCCTGAGGGAGTTTTGGGGGTGATGGAACTGTTCTGAATCTTGATTTTGGTTGTGATTTGAAATTGATATATATATTAGAACTCATAGAACTGTACACTAAAAATATTTTAGCTCTATTGTGTGATAATAAAGTAAAAAGTTATTTAAATAACCAATTCATTATCTTAAAAGCTAATATATGGCCGAAACCGGTTTGGCTCAGTGAATAGAGGGTCGGCTTAGGGACTGAAGGGTCCCGGGTTCGATTCCGGTCAAGGGCATGTACCTTGGTTGGGAGGACATCCCCAATAGGGGGTGTGCAAGAGGCAGCTGATCAATGACTCTCTCTCATCGATGTTTCTAACTTGCTATCTCTCTCCCTTTCTCTCTGTACAAAATCAATAAAATATATATTTTTTAAAAAAAGCTAATATATGGGTAAATATTATATAAATTTAAAAAAACTAACCTTTCTTTAAAAGCTAATTTCTGTATAGTAATTTTTAAAATTAAGCTTTAATCATTTCTTGGCCTTTTGGCTAAGATCAAGTGTAAAAAATTAAGCTTTAACCCTGGCCAGGGTGACTCAATGGTTAGAGTGTTAGCCAGTGCACCAAAGGGTTGAGGATTTGATTCCCAGTCAAGGGCACATCCTGGGTTGCTAGTTCCATCCTGGCCCCAGTGGAGGGTGTGTTCGGGAGGCAACCAATTGATGTGTTTCTCTCACATCTACCAATATCTGTCTGTCTCTGTCTCTGTCTCTGTCTCTCTCTCTCTCTCTCTCTCTCTCTTTCTCTCTCTCTCTCTTCCCCCCCTACCTCCCTCCCACTCTTTCTTCTCCCTCACTCCCTCCTTCCCACTCTCTCTAAAACCCAATGGAAAAAAATATCCTCAGGTGAGGATTAACAAGAAAAGTAACCTTCATTAAAAAAAAAAAAAAAACATTACCTTAAACAATGTTAATAAATAATAGCCAATAGTCTATAATAGTACTTATGGTAATTATGTCCATAAAACTTAATATATTTTCTGGCAATGGTAATGCTTCTCTTTGTGAGCTATTAGCTTTATTCTGTTCATGTGAGCTATGGAAAAGCTTTAAATTAGGGCTCTGAATCATGCATTGTTACCACTTCCTTCTTTCAAGTGCACTGTTGTTTTATCCTCAAAGCACAAAGAAATCACAAGTAATCCTACCTGCAAATACTGAAACCTGTTTAACTTGTTCTTATTCTTTTTTTCTTCTTCCTGCTACTGATATCAAGGACTTTAAATTCTAGATGAAGATTTTATTCATTAAAATTGTGGAACATACTAAGAAAGTTAAAAAAAAAAAAAAAAAAGAGAGAGAACTGTAATATATAACTGACAAACTTTTAAATTTCACGTAACATTTATATACAGACCATTAACTGAAATTTCTGGTGACGGTGAAATATCATACATGTTTTCAGGGTTTCTTAAACAGTTCATTTAAACCAAATGAGGAACAAAACCTTTCTGAATGAGAATAATAATGTAGATGAGCCCAGCCAATGTAGCTCAGTAGTTGACTTGGAGGTCACAGTGTGATTCACATGCCCAGGTTGTGGACTGTGGACTTGAGGCAGCCAATCCATGAAGTTTCTCTCTCATTGATGTTTCTGTCTGTCTATCTCTTTCCCTTGCTCTCTCTCTAAAAATCAATATAAACATGTAAAAATTAAAAAATAATGTAGGTGAAATTCTGTAAACAAGTCATTATTTGTCACATTTCACAGATGATATTAAGGATGCAAAAATAATGAACATTAGCCTTATTTAAAGAATAATCTTAAATTGTTGTTCGTTCCTTTAGAATCAGATTCCAAATGTTTTGTTAACTGGAAGCTGTAAAGATGCTATTTTGATGAGCTTTAATCATAACTTTTGTATAGATTACTATTTTAAAATATAATACCATTGCGCTTAAGAATGTTGTGTGTTTTTCTTCTAATATCTAAAATCAAATGTAACTTTTCCATGTTGGAGAAAGAATTCACCTCAGAATACAGATGTCCATATGTATTGAAGCATTTTAGTTTCTTTAATTTGTGTTATTTTTTTTTATAATATAGCCTTGTTTTTGATTGGGGTTGTGGAAACTAAATAATTAGCCAATTCAAGTAAGTTCTTATTTCATTGTTAATTTTTAAAAAAATTTTATGCAGATAGTGTGAAATAATTGAAAGATTATAAAACTCAAATTCAGATTTAGGTTCAAGTTCTGCCTCTTAATAATTGTACCTTTGACAAAGATTTAAATATTCTGGGCTTCTTTTCCTCATGTCTTTATAATAGTATTATAATGCCTGCTTTGCCTCACATATTTGCTATGAAAATCAAATCAGATAGCGTATAAGAAAGGAGCATTTAAATACTCAAGTGAAAATTGGTCTTACCTAATATTGCTATATGCCTCCATCATAAGTGAGGTTCAAATGGGATCACCTTCAGCTAGCACAGCAGGGAAGCAAGACTAAATGCCAAGGAAAAGCCCTGATTGAAGAATATTCTACTTGTTTTTGAAAAAAGATGACTAGGTTCCATGAACAGTAAGTTGTGCTATATGAGCAATGAAAAAACAACAACAAGTAAACACATATAAAACTGAGTATAAATATAAAATGTTAGAGCTAGAAAGCTTCTGGGATTTTCTAGCCAAAGGCTTCTTATTTTATAGACAACAAAACTGGCTAAGATTATCCAGTAAGTTCTAGAGTGGCAAATTAAGATGTATTTCTCAGGGTGGTTAAGAAGATTCAGGTTTTGAAATTAATTATATAAGGCATAAAATCACAATTTTATCACTGACTTAGAATGTAACTTCAGGCATAACCTCTCTAAGCCTGTTTCTTTATCTGTAAACTAGAGGCCCAGAGCACTAAATTTGTGCACTGGGTGGGGAGGTTAGATTCCTCAGCCCAGCCTGTACCCTCTCGCAGTCCAGGACCTCTCAGGGGATGTCTGCCTGCCGGAGGGTCGGGGGGGGGGGGGGAGGTTTGGAGGGTGGGGACGATCGGGCCTAAGCTGGTAGTCAGACATCCCTCTTATAGTCCAGAGCTCTCACAGTCCAGGACGCCTTGCTCCTTACCGCCCTCCTGCAGCAGAAGCGGGAGAGGCTCCTGCCAATGTATTGAAAAGAGAAGACTATTCTTAAACAGTTTTTTAAAAAGTTTAATAGTAAAAATATCACTTGTTTATTGTCTAAGTTGTCATGATTTAATAAAGAACTAAAATGGCTTAAGTGCTTAAGAATTATGACTGATGGTGCTTGAAAATCATTTCCCAGAACTCTTTCTTTTTTCTTTTGGTACTCCTCACCGGAGAATAACATAGATTTTTAGAGAGTGGAAGGGAGGGGGAGACAGAGAGAGAAAAACATGGATGTGAGAAAGACACATCAATTGGTTGGATCAGGGCTGGGAATTGTGCCTGCAACCAAGGTGTGTGCCCTTGACTGGAATTGAACCCAGGACCCTTCAGTTTATGGCTGACATTCTACCCACTGAGCCAAATTGGGTAGGGCGTCCCAGAACTTTTCTTGAATAAAATGACAGACTTTTGTTTCATTCGGCCCATTTAATGTGTGTAACTCCCTTGTACCCCCATTGTTAAGTGTCATTGTCTATTTGAGTCTGTGCTGTATAGGTTTAACAGACCTAGGACTGCCTCATTCATCTGTATTTCCTGGTACTTATGATACCTTAAACATGATAGCCACATTGTATTACTTTTTTTAAACCAAGGTTTTGTGAGGAAAAGTTGTATACAGAATTATATACTACCAGTGAAGTTATGTCATTTCAAAAGTTATAGATTATAACATTTTGAATTTCAGATTTCCTTTTTTTCTGGGGAGCTGTATTTTTGATAACAACAACTTTAGTTGCCATTCTGAAAAAAGAAAACAAAGAGGTATCAGTAGGAAAAGAAGAAACCCAAGGTATCACAGATACTTACAAGCTGCTTTTTGCAATTATAAAAATGCCGGCAGTTCTGACATTTTGCCTTCTGATTCTAACTGCAAAGGTAAGAGGTTTCTAAAGCTAATTTACCATTCTGCTATAATTAACAATATGGTAAAATACTTCTGTTGTCTTTTCATATCATAGGTTCCTTTCCACTACTATTAGAATTTAATAATAAAAAACAATTTTCAGTTAATTAAATGTGTTTTGAAAGGTGTGATGATATCAAATATAATTTCAAAGTAAGCTAAATGTTTGGGATTTTGAAAAGAATTATACCAATTTGAAGTAAGTCTAATACAAGTGAAATCTTATTTAATGAATTATATTAATGCTTGGTATATAAGTGACTGCCTTGAAAAAAAATAATTTGCTTAAGATGTGATTTACAATGATAAAGAAATGCAATTATTTACTTAAGATGTGATTTACAATGATATAGGAATATATCATTGTAAATCACAAGTTTATTTAAACCATAAAAGAAATGGGGATTTTGGTGATGTTGATTTTATTCTTTATGTTTTTTGTATTAAGATGTCCTTATCTTATATCTCTAAAACATTTTAAAGACATATGCTAGAAGAAAGGTGAGTATACTCTGTTAAAGTGAGCTATTGCTATTGTTGGAATTAATATTATTAAAATCTAAAATCAGTTACAGGAATTTCATATTTCAAAATCAGTTATAGGAATTAATATTTATACTTATCTACATAAACATTTTACAACTATCTTTGAGGTAAAAATGTAGCTTCAATGTTTTGAAATAGTGTGTCCTCCTCTCTCTCTCTTTTTTTTAATATATTTTATTTATTTTTTACAGAGAGGAAGAGAGAGGGATAGAGAGTTAGAAACATCGATGAGAGAGAATCATCAATCAGCTGCCTCTTGCACAACCCCTACCGGGGATGTGCCTGCAACCAAGGTACATGCCCTTGACCAGAATCGAACCTGGGTCCTTTCAGTCCACAGGCTGACGCTCTATCCACTGAGCCAAACCAGTCTTGGCTGTTTCCTCCTCTCTAATGTTAAGTGGGTTAAATTTTAAGGAAACATGAAGGAGGCTTAAACTTTAGGAACTTAAGGTTTAAGTGTAGTAAATGGTAAAAAAGTTCAAGGGAGACTATATTAACTAATTACATAATGTAGAAATCTCCTTTGGTAACATTTTTTATATATTTTCTTTGGTATATTTCCCCCTATATATGTATCTGTATACATATACTTTATATGCAGAAATATAAGTGCCTGTATCATTAAATCATACTTGAAAACTTTTTAGTAGCTATATAATTGTCACATTGTATAAATTTACCATAATTTATTCAGTCATTTTTCTGTTGCATATTTAATTTGCTTAGGGTTTTTAATGATAAAAATGTTCTAGTGAATTCTTTTTGCATAAGTTTTTCTTTGATGTTCTGTTTCCTAACAATAAATTCTTAAATGGGCAATTAGTGGGTCAGTGAATGTAACTGCTAAATTACTCTTTAAAAAATTATAATAGTTTTTACTGTCCCGAGTAATATATAAAGAGGTGCTTCAGTTACAGAATCTAGAATCCCATGTTCTCCTTTAAAGTAAATCTTACCAAAAGACATCTCTTAAGTTTTAGTATCAGAAATTAGTTTTCCCTTCTTTTGAGTTCTATATAGATGAAATATCCAGTAGGTGTTCTTATGTCTAGCTCTTGTATTGTTTTACTCAACATTATACAGTGTTCCAAAACATACTTTACCAGCTGATCGCACAATTGATGTTTCTTACTTTTCTGATATAAACCATTGGGATTAATAATAGTATTCAAAGTATTTATACAGTTTTGGGGACACCCTGTATTTGTATAACTTATCTATATTGCTAATTTTAGTAGTAGTTTGTTCATCTCATTGCTTATTGCATTCCATTGTATGAATTTGCCACAATTTATTTTATCAACAAATACTTAGGTTATTTCTACTTTTGGACTATTATGAATAGTGTTTCTACAAACATTTTTTATATTACTTTTAGTGAACTTAGGTGAACATTTAGATGGGTAAATACCTAAGTGTAGAATTGTTGGGTCATAAATATTCCATTAGTATATACAGCCAAACAAGTTTCCAAAGAGGTTGCTGTTTCAGTTCTCCTACCATCAGCAGTATTTGAGTTCCAATTGCTTCACAGCCTAGAGAACAGATTGTCTTTTCAATTTTAGCCTTTTTGGTGAGTATGTAGAGGCATCTCATTATGTTATAATTTCCATTTCCCTGATGACTAAAGAAGCTGAGCATTTTTCATATAGTTAAGGCCATATGAATATTCAGAGTTGCCTTTTTCTTTAAATTTGTAGAACTTTGATTTTTTTATATATATATATATATCCTAGATTTGAGGTTTTTGTTAGTTGTGTCTATTACAAATATCTCCTATCTATACCAGTTTTAAGACAGAGTAAATGTTGAAGTGAGTTTGTATATCTGATTTTTACAAAGAGAATGGGTGAATTTATTTTCTAGACTTAAGTGAAATATCTTTGACATTTAATGTTTTCATGGAGAAATTTGCTTTCTGGCTCCATTCCAGTAAAAGTATATTTCTTTGAACAATTTTTTTATTTGCTAGAGTTTCATACTTATTAAAAATTTTACTTTTTAATTTAAAGAATTCCCATATGTCATATCCAAGTTCTCTAATTATTAACATTTAGTTCCCCTTTATTTTGTAAATTTGCACTCTATTACCTGTTTCTTTTGAAATGTTTGAAAGCAATTTGTACATACCATGACCCTTTATCCATACATACCATAAGTATGTATTTCCTAAGAATGGCAAAGCCACAACTTTAATAAAATAATCAGGGTTTTGTCTTTTTATCCTTAGCCGAGGATATGTTTCCTTTGATTTGTAGAGAGAGGATGGAAAAGAGAGAGAGAGAGAGAGAGAGAGAGAGAGAGAGAGGGGAACAGAAACATCAGTGTGAGAGAGAAACATAGATCAGTTACCTCCTCTACGTACCCCGTTACAGATGGGGTTGTTTTTAAGATTTAATCTAACTATACTTTTTCCTTCTCCCTCATTTTATTCAACTTTTCAGTTATAATGTTTTCTCAGAATTACTTTTGAAATGTTAGGAGATCTGAAATTTTTATTATGGTCAATCAGAAATCATAAAAATGTGTATATGTGGCAGTGATTCTCCATTTTAACCAGATTTATTTGGAGTCAATTAATGACTTCTTTAAAAAAAAAAAAAATTGAAATGAACAAATCAGTAAGTTTGGGTTGGGACACTTTATTATAAGAGATTGAACTTTTGAAGTGGAAATTTTGTTGTAATTAGAGCCATCTACAGTTCCTAAGAGTGCTGAATTTTTAGTTGTTTTCACCGAATATTGTCAGTAGACCATAGGGCAAAGTGCACCTTCTCTAACTTGATTGTTTTACCATACTTGTATCTGTCATGGGTTAATCGTGAAATTGAGTTTATTGAGAACTTACATATGCTTGGAAGAAAATATTTCCTAAGTCATAAATTAAAATATTTTTCTATTGCAGATTGGTTTTTCAGCAGCAGATGCAGTAACAGGACTGAAATTGGTAGAAGAGGGAGTACCTAAAGAACATTTAGCCTTATTGGCAGTTCCAATGGTTCCTTTACAGATAATATTGCCTCTGATTATCAGCAAATACACTTCAGGTCCCCGGCCACTAGATGTATTTTACAAAGCCATGCCCTACAGGTAAAAACAAAGTAGAATCTTCTTAAATAAGAAAGGTTAAATGAGGAACATTCATTAGTGTCACTAATATCTGTGTGTAGAGTATATATGGAAAAAGGCTTGAAAAGCATCTTTTTAAAAATATATATATATTATTGATTTTTTAAAGAGAGGAAGGGAGAGAAATAGAGAGTTAGAAACATTGATGAGAGAGTCATCGATCAGCTGCCTCTTGCACATGCCCTACTGGGAATGTGCCCGCAACCAAGGTACATGTCCTTGACCAGAATCGAACCCGGGACCCTTCAGTCCGCAGGCTGATGCTCTATCCACTGAGCCAAATCAGTTTCAGCTTGAAAAGCATCTTCAACTATCGATATAATAGCATTTCTACATACTTTTCTCTCTTTTTTTAGCCTAATAGGTTGTAGATTCAAGCTTTTTTCCTGTGGTAGACACACGGATTTCTGTTTTAGTTGTTTTTTAACCTAAAATGGAAGTCAGCTCCATTTTTTTCCCCCTCTATAGATTATTGCTTGGATTAGAGTTTGCTCTGCTGGTTTGGTGGACTCCTAAAGTAGAACATCAAGGGGGATTCCCTATATATTACTATTTCGTACTGCTGCTGAGTTATGCGTTACATCAGGTAAGCTTGTAGTTTTCTAAGGAAGTAAACTGTTCTTGGTAAAATAAAGAAGACATTTTTCTACAGTGGCTTTAAAATAATGATAATAAATTTTAAGATTTAAGCACAGATCTGACAATGAAATTATTTGACGTGTACTTGAACCCTTATTACTTTTGATTTAATGAGCTCTATTCATGGAAAGAGAGTTTCTTCTTTATCCCATTTTTTTGTTCATTTGACAAATATTTTTTACATTTCAGAATTTATTTCAAACTAGTAATTCTATCCTTGCTAAGTATTTCTTATTCGATCCCTAGACTTTGGTTCTTTCTTTCTTCTAGTCCCAATATTTTTTTTTTCTGAAAGTATTAAAAAATAAGGATGGCTACTAGGTTAAAGGTTATAGGTTTTTGGTTTAGAATCGTTTTGAAAGTTATATCTTACTCTTTTGTGATTTTGGGAGCTGTGTGTCAATCTCTTTTTTCTTTCTTTATTAAATACATTTGTAATCCCTAAAAAAAGTGATACTTTGCTATAGCCTCACCTAAGCTACTGTTACACAATGGGGTTTTGTTTGGGGGCAAGTGATTCAAGTAAATGGCAGATTATCTTTATATAATTTTAAGGTTTATAAGGGACTCAACTGTAGTAATTGCTAATGTGTATTTTAGAGTCACTTTGGATTTTTCAATGAAACCTAGCTTAAACATTTGAAAGTTATAGTTACATTTTGAAAATTATATTTACCAACTCCTCATTTTGTTTTTAACTGAAACTAAAAATATGGCTACCAAATAATCTCAGTAATTTTTTTTGCATGCAATTGTCTCATTTAAAAGATCTCCATAGTGGATCATGTCTGACTAACTATGTATATCATCGAGGCCAGAATGTCAAATGTAATTTTCTTTTGTTTTGCACATACTTAGTTAAATAAAAGTTAAAAGAAGTGTTTTAGCTTAGCAAATGCTTTACTACCTAAGTAAAAGAAAACTATGATGTAGTAGTTCAAAAATCATTCGTTTGGCTTTGGATTTCATTAGATAATTTTTTAAAGTATAGTCATTGAAACCCAGACAACCAGATGCTTTATGGGAGAAAAGGTATAAGGCCAAGTAAATTTGAGAAATGATAAATGATACCACCCCTCTTTATGTAGCATCTTAATCATTCCTTCAACAAATGTTACTAAGTGAACACGGATTCCATGATAGGAAACATTCTAAGTACTATAATATAACAGTGAATAAACCATACCGAAATCCCTGCCCTAAGGAGTTTATATTCTTATATCCTAAAGGCTTTCAGAAGGCCTACAGTGAAAGGGACTTGTTTAATTTTATGTAATTTAGTGTTTCTCAGTCTTATTTGATATTATAACATCCCATGGGACAATAATAAAAGGAATACTGTCTTGGAAGCATGGTTTATTTCCATATTCCTAAATAGAGGGTTAATTCTTGCCTCTTAAGAACTTTTGCCTTTAAGATCTTTTTCTTCAATTTGTCACATACATTTTGAAATGCTTTTTTTCTATGTATATAGACAAAAATTATATTTGAGAGCTTACATGTATAATACATATATACATAAAATACACATATATGTATTTTAGAGGCCCAGTGCATGAAATTCCTGCAGAGGTAGAGTCTCTAGGCCTGGTCAGCAATCAGGGACGATTGGGGCCTTCAAGCTGCCGGCAGGGGCCTTCCTTTGTTCCGCGCTGCCCCCTGGTGGTCAGCATACATCATAGCAAGTGATCGAACTCCTGGTGTCCTGGTCAAACTCCCAAGTGGACCCTTTGCACATTAGCTAGCCTTTTATATATATAAAAGTGTGTGTGTGTGTGTGTGTATATACACAGTACACATATAGGGTTTTGCATAGTGCTTCATAGTGCCTCATCTGTCATTTTCTCATTTTATCATTCCTTGACTACTTATTTTAAATTAAGCTCTTATTTATCTAGATCCCAGTAATACAATTTGTATACTTCTGTTAAGAATACTTACTGCATTTTGTAATATTTATTTGTTCCCTATTTTCCTAGTCTAGAATAAATTCTTGAAGGTTATAGAGAGACTATCTTAGTCATCTTTATATTGTCATGATCTGGCCTAAAGCCTAGTCAATAAGAAATGTTCAATAAATGTTTTTTGACTTGAGTTTAATAAGGGACATGAAAATTAATTTTAAGGTTTATAATTTTGATTTTCTTAATTCAGACTGTAGCTTTTAAAAGCCTAATCGTATTAAAGATGTTTTACATTTTCCTTATAGGTTACATTGTACAGTATGTATGTTTCCATAATGGCTTTTAATGCAAAGGTTAGCGATCCACTTATTGGAGGAACATATATGACCCTTTTAAACACCGTGTCCAATCTGGGAGGAAACTGGCCTTCTACAGTAGCCCTTTGGCTAGTGGATCCCCTCACTGTGAAAGAGTGTATAGGCGCATCAAACCAGAGTTGTCGAACAGCTGATACTATTGAGGTAAGTGTGTTGTAATTTTAAATAACATTAAACTAATATTAAGGTATTAATTTCCTCGTTTTGCCTCTAGAAGAACTATATCTATTTTAAAAATCATGTCTGCCCATAGTTTCTCATAGAGAAATCTACATCTTTCCCATCATGAGTAAGGGTTTTAATGCAACTGAAATCAATAAAAGTAGTTTACTGAAGGGTAATTCTTAGCAAGGGAGATGCAGTCACTCTTCCCACCTGAGGATCGCTGTTGTACACAGTAGGAACTTAAAAAATGCATTATAAATAATTAAGTTTTTTAATGACAGCAAAAGGGAAATTTCATTGGCTGTTCATTTAACAATTGTAGGTAAAACCAAGTGGTTAGTAGTTTGTTGATTATTTCAAAGTAACAACTAGCTGACTTTTGGAGTATTGTTTATAGCATGAGCTGAAAATTGCTCTACTCTTGTTGGTAGCATTAGAGAGATTTAAGAGATATTAACATGTAACAAAAATAAATTTTGATCAATCTTTTAAACTACAAAGTAGAAACATGTAAGTTGGTAAATACTTCCATTTTGAAATTATGGAATTTTTTTTTTTTTTTTTTTTTTTTTTTTTTTTTTTTTACAGCTTTGCAAAAAACTCGGTGGCTCATGTGTTACAGCGCTGGATGGTTATTATGTGGAGTCCATTATTTGTGTGCTTATTGGATTTGGGTGGTGGTTCGGTTTTGGTCCAAAATTTAAAAAGTTGCAGGATGAAGGACTGTCTTCATGGAAGTGCAAAAGGAACAATTAGTGCATTTATTACTGGACATTCTAAGAAAGGTAACTATAGTTTAGTTTTAATTCAGAGAGCTATGATAATCAGTGAACAGGAGTATAAAATATTATTTTGAACAAGGAAATTAGTGCTATAAAAATGCCAAATGGTTAAAAAATAGAGACCTCTCTGCATCCATGATTATATTTTGCCTTGACTTGTTAGTGTATTTACAGTTCACTTAAGGTAAGGAAATTTGTTCTAAAACAACTTTTTAGGCCTTGTTTGATTTATACCTTTTTAATTTACTGACCAAAGTATTTTTTAAGCAGCAAAGCAGTAGCCATGAGTGGTAACCACACAGTCAAGTATTGTTATCAGTTCCTATCCTCGAGCTGTATTTAAAATTTTGGTAAAATATACTCAATGGAAAAGAGCATGATTATCAGATACTAATTATAATAGTCCTGACCTGTTGAAAGATAAACCTCATTTTGAATTGCAAGTTGTTAGATTCTATGTGGAATTTCCTGAAAAGAGAATTTAGACTGCTGACTGAAATGCCATTTTAGTTGTTATTTTTCTGACCACAACAACATTGTACTAATGAATCTGCGTTTAAAAGACTATTTGAAATATAGTTCCTGCTTTTGTAGGCATTAAAGATTTATAAGAAGATTACTCAAACTATTTTTTTATAACATGAAAGCTCTGATATTTAATTTATTGATTTCCCCTGTCCAGGCTTTTTTGGAATTTTTATTCCTTGTAACTTTTACCCTAAAGTTTGCATGTTTTTGTTTGTTATAAGAGTTACATGGCACACAGAAATCTCGTGAGGGGATCAAATTTAGTGTTGAATACATGTTTGTGGCAAAGTTTTGAAAATAAAAATTAAATGTTTTTTCTTCAAGTAGTTTTTTTGTTTGTTTGTTTTTTTACCAGAAAAAAAAAAAAAAAGAACAGTAAAGTTTTTAGATTAAGTAAAATTTAAGTGAAAAAGTGTTTTAAGCACTGAGACAGAGATCTTTTGTGCCTTTGACAAATTATATCATGTAGTGGAAGAATGTTTCTTCATTAAGCACTTTACTGGTGAGAAAAGATCTCACAATAACTTTATACCAAATCAAGTACTGTATTTCCACTTATTAAAGCACAGTCTTCTGTTTGTAAACTTTAGCTGCCAGTAGAGAATTGCTATTCCAGGAGAATTAAGCTTTCTAGTACTTTAGAAATTTCTAACATATTGTGTACATTCAGTAATAAAGTTCTTTGCATATTTTGTGGTGTATTACTGTGACTTTTTAAAGATTATATAAATCCTTCAAAATTGAAGCTAGAGGAAAAAAAGAGATTATAAGTAGAGTCTTAGTATTATTTTTATTATTATTATTATTATTTGGAAATATACACTAACTCCTAGTTTTTTGTTTAACTTTATAACATAGGTTGAATTTTAGAGTGGGGTTTTTATAAGTAATGGAGGATAAACTGGGTGGGAGAAAATGGCATTTGGCATCCGAAGAAAGATAGATGAAGGCAGCGGCCTCTACACGTGAGCATGGCCATTGGGAAGCCAATGTTGGGCATTGATGTCAGATCCTGCAGAATCACCTAGAAAGTCAACCTACAGACAAGGAGACTACACCAAACAATAGACTCCAGTACTCTGTCACATGTGAATTATCATGTATTATAATCAAAAATGTTTACTTGAATAAATAAAAAGTACACTTAACTATCATATGTGAAATGTATTTTGATTTTTAGTTTTGAAGTAGGGAGTTCACGTTACCAGAATTACCTTTTTATTTCTTTCTTATTCATGTTATTATACATACTTTCCAACATATTTTCAAGTATGAATATTTAATGACTGAAGTTTTAAAATATTTTTTAAGCCTTTAACTATGAGGTGGAAGCCAGTAATTGCATTTGCTCTAGAAATTAACAGTTATTTTAAACGAGAGGCCCAGTGCACGAATTTGTGCATGGGTGGGGTCCCTTGGCCTGGCCAGTTATTGGGAATTGGGCTGGCTAGCCAGAGGGAGGGAACAAGGGAGGTTGGCCAGCCATGGGAGGTTGGCTGTGGGTACGTTCTGACCACCAGGGGCCAGCTCCTGCATTGAGCATCTGCCATTGGTGGTTATTGAGTCATCATAGAGCCTGGTCATAATGGTTACTTAAGGCTTTTATATATACTAGAGGCCCAGTGCATGAAATTCATGCCCGGAGTGGGGGGGTGTCCCTCAGCCCAGCCTGCAGCCTCTCCAATCTGGGACCCCTCAAGGGATGTCCAGGCAGTCATCCCTCTCACAATCCAAGACTTTTGGCTCCCAACCACTTGCCTACATGCCTGCCTGATCTTTTCTAACTGCCTCTGCCTGCCAGCCTGATCACCCTCTAAACACTCCCCTACCAGCCTGATCCATGCCTAACTGCTCCCCTGCCGGTCCGATTGCCCACAACTGCTTTACTCTGCTGGCCTGATCACCCCCAGCTGCCCTCCCCTGCTGGCCCCAGTAATCCCCAACTGTCCTCCCCTGCTGGCCCGGTCACCCCCCAACTGCCATCCCCTGCTGGCCATCTTGTAGCAGCATCTTTAATGACATAGGAGCGACCATCTTGTGAAAGGGTGTGAGGGTCAATTTGCATATTACCTCTTTATTATATAGGCCAGGTGCACGAAATTCGTGCATGGAAGGGGTGGTCCCTCAGCCTAGCCTGCACCCTCTTGCAATCCAGAACCACTGGCTCCTAACCACTGGCCTGCCTGATCACCTCTGCCTGCCTAATTACCCCTAACCACTCTGTCTGCCTGCCTGCCTGCTAATCACCCCTAACCTCTGCATACCTGCCTAATTGCCCCTAACCACTCTGCCTGCCTAATCACCCCTAATCCCGTTGCTTGCCTGCCTAATCACTCCTAATCCCTCTGCATGCCTGCCTGATTGCCCCTAACCACTTGCCTGCCTGTGTGATGACTCCTAATCACTCTGTCTCCCTGCCTGATTGCCCCTAAGCACTCCCCTGCCTGCCTGATAACCCCTAACCACCTCTGCCTCAGATCCCGCCACTGCGGCTTAATCTGGAAGGACATACAGCTGTCTAGTCTAGGTAGCATATCATGCTTTTATTAGTATAGATTGTAGTCATTTGGTTATTTGGATACATACTTGTACTGCATCCAGAATGACTTAGTACTAGCTATGTTTAACTATATGGCAAGCATGTCAAACTCAAAAGCTAACACAGGCCAAAACAGATTTAAGTTTATGTGGGCCATAAAAAAACCCAAAAGCTTCAATTTTCATAGAAACAGGCTTATTTCAATAGAGACATGCTGAATAAAAAGAGCTGAAATAATGAATAATCAACATAATAGAACATTTAAAAAATATATATTTTATTGATATTTTACAGAGCGAAAGGGGAAGGGATAGAGAGCTAGAAACATTGATGAGAGAGAAACATTGACCACCTGCCTCCTGCACACTCCCTACTACTGGGTATGTGCCCACAACCAAGGTACATGTCCTTGACCGGAATCAAACCTGGGACCCTTGATCCACAAGCCGACGCTTTATTCACTGAGCCAAACCAGTTAGGGCTAATAGAACATTTTAATAAAAAATAATATTTTTTTCTTGAATATTAACTTACCAAGCACTGAGTAACTACACAAATTAATAAGCATAATGGAAGTAAACATATTTTTCTTGTTCCCCAAAAGCAAAATATTTCCTGTTGCAAACACCAAATAGTACAAGACTGACATGGCCCTAACCAGTTTGGCTTAGTGGATAGAGTGTTGGCCTGCGGACTGAAGGATCCCAAGTTCAGTTCCTGTCAAGGGCATATACCTTGGTTGCGGGCACATAGGGAGTGTGCAGGAGGCAGCTGATTGATGTTTCTCTCCCATCAATTTTCTAACTATCCTTTTCCCTTCCCCTCTGTAAAAAAATCAATAAAATACATTAAAAAAAAAAAAAAAAGACTAATGACACGGCAATCAACTGCTGAAATATTCCCTGCTAGTATTAGTGGAGAGAAATTGTGTGCCTGCCCGTAAGGTGGTAAGGGAAATGAATGCAACACAATTATAGTAATCATTGTAGTTCAATGTATAGCAAACATTGTAGTTCGTTATATTGTAAAAATTAAGTTATAAAATTTTTATTAAAACATTTCTTACCATTATATTGGCGGGGCTGCAGAAATTTGTTGTGGGCCATATACAGCCCTTAGGCCGGGAGTTTGGCATGCTTGCTATATAGCATACATAGATAACTGATGGTGTTTTAACAAATAATCTACCTAAATATGAGGGTTTGTTTATCATAAATCAAGAGTTCTAGAGCCCTGACTGGTTTGGTTCAGTGGATAGAGCATCAGCCTGCAGACTCGAGGGTCCCAGGTTCGATTCCAGTCAAGGGCATGTACCTTGGTTATGGGCACATCCCCGTAGAGGGTGTGCAGGAGGCAGCTGATTGATGTTTCTCTCTCATTGATGTTTCTAATTCCCTCTCCCTTTCTGTAAAAAATCAATTATATATATATAATTTAGTTTGAGGTTGAGAGCCTTCCCATTTCCTTACCTGTTGAGAACTTCTATTAGATTCTTCATTTTATCTCTCTAAATTTTTAGAATAGGCATGAAGAGCTAATATTCCTTCCTGGGATTCTATTTGGTAGAGGCAAGTCCTGTATCAGGGCAGAATAATTAATGTATAGGACTCATGCCCTCCCCTTAAGTGAATAGAAACTTCATTTAACTGTTGGATTATAAAGATTGATTTTAAGGAGCAAGTTTGTTTTACCTTTGTGGGGCAAAGTGGACATTTTGTAGAGAAAAGTTCTATATAACAAAATGAAAATTCTGTGATTAATCATAGTTCATCTTGAAAACAAATTTGCCAAGTATATAATTAAATATATATTAAAATGTTACTAATATTAATTTGCATAGTTTATATGAAGTCTTGGAGTACTGAGAAAAAGATTGCTACTTTTCAATTATTTTTTATTGTCAATATAGACATCACTTATAAGCATTCTGTGTGAAGAATGTTTAAATACCACTACAGAAATGAATAAGGTATTGGCATAATTCTTAGAGAATTATCATGCCTCTAAAATTGAGAACCCTAGCCATTACAGTTAATCAGTCACTATTGTAAAATACAAATATTAAAGCCTATTCATTTCATTAAAACGAAAAGTAAACTGTTCATGTTAGGTTTACTAAGTGCTAAGATTCTAATGATAACCTCACAAGGCAAGTATTTCAGAGTCTTCACTATCCAGCTTTCTAAATTGGGCTTTACATGATAGAGTGAATGGCAGAGCAATAGATTACAAATAGGACAATCCTGTAAGACTAATTCTGAACTTGATAGAAAGATTACAAGCTATTTTACAGGCATCTATCTATACATTTTCTTTCTTTTTTTAAAAAATATATTGATATTTTACAGAGAGGAAGGGAGAGGAATAGAAAATTAGAAACATCGATGAGAGATAAACATCGATCAACTGCCTCCTGCACACTCCCTATTGGGTATGTGTCCGTAACCAAGGCACATGCCCTTGACCTGAATCGAATCCAGGACCCTTGAGTCTGCAGGCTGATGCTCTATCCACTGAGCCAAATTGATTATTTTCTTAATATGTTGGTGAGTCTCTTATAGTCTTGGATTCTTACTTTGATTCAACAAATTTATCTGTTTTTGCAATAAAAATTTCTTGACATCTTTCTCCTTTGAAGGTTCATGATTTACTCAGCAAAAAAAGGACTGTGGAAAATAGGAGAATATTCTGGAGAATACTTTTACATGCTTACCCTATCCCCTTCTGAGGGCAAATGCCATTCTTAGAGTCCCAGGCTTAGCAAAGCAACTTTAGCTTTATGGTTAAGCTCACATGGCCAATTTTTAAGTGCTTAATCTTGTCATACTGACTCCAGGTGATTATCTCTGACTGAAACATAGCCAATTTATAGAACAGTTATTAGTTCATTAGTTGTCTTGGCATAAAAACCTTGAATGATAATGCCTAGACCAATCATAGTTTTATAGGAAGTCATACAAACAGTGTGAGATAAAAATGTGTGTTAGTAGTGAAAGGAGAATAAAAAATACACAGTGAGGCAGACATTGAATTGTTGGCGATAGGATAATATTTGCAACAATAGGTTAATAATATTTGAAGGGCTCAATGAACTTCTGCTTCTGAGGAAGGGGTAATGTTAGTGCCTAAACTCAATAGAGTTGTATTAGATCCTGAATGTAGCCCAAACTATATTCTAGACATGAGACCTAGCTATGTTGCAATTCCTGATCATTGCCAGATAACCAGCTTGAGGTCCCAGGGTTCCTTGTTTCTCTAAGTATCATTATACTTCCCAAAAGTCTTCCTCCACTTATTTAAAAAAATAATAAAGGTATACTTTACATAAAGTCACAAATCAAATACAAAAACTGCTCCAAAATAGTTGTTTCCTCTGCCCTCCTTTTTTTTCTATTGTCATAAAAATTATATCTTTATACATTATAAGCCCATCAGCACAGTTTTGTAAATAGTTGTATTTGAAATCACACAGGAGAAGCAAAGATTTATAAACAAAAATATATTTATGCAGCATTTAATTTTTTTTACTAGTTCTCTTTAATTCTTCATGTGAATTCTAATTTACTAGTTCCCTAAAGGCTGTCAGACTGAATTTGTTTGGTAGGAAGAGGAAGGGAAGAAGAGGAGGACAAAACAGAAGAGCAGGAAAGATAGGTAGAGATTTTGCCGTATAGAGAATTGAAGAGGATATCTCTCACTCAGCTAATTCATATATATAAAAGCCTAAGCGACCATTAAGACCAGATGACTAGACAACCAGACGACTGGCCGGTAGCTATGATGCACACTGACCAGCAGGGGGCAGACACTCAATGCAGGAGCTGCACCCCGGTGGTCAGTGCACTCCCACAGTCAACTTCCTGCAATCTGCCAACCTCCTGCCATCCCTCCCCCTGTTTGTCCAACCTCCCATGGTCTCCTCGTTCCCCCCACCCCCCCTCTGCCGTCTGCCCTGATTGGCTCCAATTGCAGGCCAGGCCGAGGGACCCCACCCATGCACAAGTTCATGCACTGGGCCTCTAGTATTTAATAAGATTCTCCTATGTATCAGAAACTGTTCTTCACACTGGGCGTAGACACAGACATAGTTAAGAGACACAGTCCTGACCCTACAGACTAGTGGACAAGGAAAGGAATAAAAATAAAGCCTGTCAGTCAGTCTATAAAATTACAAATTTGCCCTAACCTGTTTGGCTCATTGGATAGAGCATCAGCCTGTGGACTGACGAGTCCCAGGTTCTATTCCAGTCAAGGGCATGTACTTTGGTTGTGGGCACATCCATAGTAGGGTGTGTGCAGGAGGCAGGTGATTAAAGAAGAGCTTGGCTAGTCAGAACCTCCATTATGCAGCCCCTCTACAGGAGCCTATGGACTTCTGACATTTAATGCAAAGCCACTAAAGCAGAGATAACACACAGAAAGCCAATAGTCTCTCCCTGAACATTATATTTTATGCCCAGCACAGAGTGTTTTGCCAACATTTCATTTCAAACAGGATGCTTTCATAGAAAAGTCTAGATTTTCAGCTTATCATGAAAAAAAACAAAAAAACAAAACAAAAAAAAAGCCTGAAGATCTCTCCATACTAGACTCCAACTGTTTGGTGAGGCTGGGTGTAATTCAAAGTTGGGGTTTTGCCAGACAAATGCAAAGAAGATGGGGGGTAGGGGGGTGGGGAATTGGAGTTGAAGCTGTTTTCAAGGGAATGATCATAATGCCCAAGCAGAGAGTCAAAGCGGGGTCAGATGGGCTTGAAGACTAGAGGGGGCAGATGAACAGGACATGGTTTGGCCATCTTAAGGAGCTCAGGGAATTGTCGCCGTTAGTGGAGGCATGACCTGCTCCAATTTCCTTCCTCCATGGCAGTGCGGAACCCACGCTGCGGCTGAAATCATTGAAATCACTAAATGACAGCTTCCCTGGAGCTTAAGGGAGAGTCCTTCTGCCCCACCCCTGCCCACAGGGAGCACTCAGGCCTGGGACAAGCACTGCACAGTGTTGGGACGTCTCATAACGGGTGTGTGTGGGGAGGCGGGGGGCTCCACCCCCAGCATCGGAAGGAGGGAACAGCCGAGCCTCCGGACACTCCCCAGCGAGGATGAAGGGAACCCCGCTATTAGCCAGCTGCTAGGGGATCGCGGATCCGCACCTGCCGCCGTGGGAACAGCGCCCCCTGCCGCCCGGAGGAGCGCGGCGCAGCGCGGGAGCAACATGGCGGGGCGGCCCGGGGCCGGGGCCTCGCCGCCGGCCGACCGAGAAGGAGCGGCGCCCAATGTGGTGGCGCGGCTGTCGCAGTGGGCGGACGACCACCTGCGCCTCGTCCGGGTACCGCGGCCCCGCCCGCCGGCCGGGCAGGGGGTGGGCGTGGGGCCGGGGCGCGGGGCCCAGAGGGCGGGCGCCGCGGGGCCCGGGTGCCCGTGCGGAGGGCGGCACGTGGGCCCTGCAGGCCTGGGGGTGGTTTTGTTTTGTTCACTTCTCCGTAGGGTGAGAGGCCCCTGCAGACCCAGCCAGGGAGAGGGAGCTGGGGAGGGTGGTGCTAAGCGGGGTCAGGTGTGGGATTCAGAGAGAGGGATGGAGGGGCTGCCCCCTGCTGGCTGCGGCAAGCATTGCTGGGAGGGAGCAGTGGGGGTAAAGGTTAGGAAAATCCAGAGACCTTTTTGGGCTCTGAACTTGAAGATGCCTGATGGGCTTGGAAAGAGGGATGTGTGAACTGGAACATGGTTCCTAGGCTTCTAGCTCCAGCTGATGTTTTCAGGGGTCGGCAAACTCATCAGTCAACAGAGTCAAATACCAACAGGACAACGTTTGAAATTTCTTTGGAGAGCCACATTTTTTAAACCTAAACTTCTTCTAACGCCACTTCTTCAAAATAAATAAACTCGCCCAGGCCGTGGTGTTTTGTGGAAGAGCCACACTCAAGGGGCCAAAGAACCACGGCTCGGGAGCCGCAGTTTGCCGACCATGGTTTTAGGCGACTGGATGAGGAATCTCGTGTTGAAGGGCTCAGGTCCGGACATAAAGCTTTGGGAATGAGCTCTGTTATACCGAAAGGAGTATTGAAAGCCTGGATGGCATCTTGAAGCGAGTCAGAGACATTACTGAAGAAGTCCTAGCCTCCCGTCGAGGACACCTAGCAGTTAGAAATTGGGGAGTGAAAAGAAGGGTGTCAGCAAAGACTGGCAAAGGAACAGGGAAGGGGGGAGAGGGACGCCAGGTGTCCTAGGAGGCAGGTGAAGAGAATGCTTTCAGAAGGAATGATTAACTGGGTCGAATTCTGCTGAGAAGTTGGGTAGGATCAATGCCTTAAACCTACTCTATGGCCAAGCAGCACAGAGGGCTAGGACCATGTCTGGTTTCACACAATGGGTGCAGCTCCCTCCAGTCCTTACTTAGTAAGTGCTGGATAAGTAGACATGGCGTTAGTGAGTGGTGGGTATGTAGATGTGAATTGATCAGGCCTCCACTCTGCCAGGTAAGCAGGCAGGGGTGCCTGGGCTTTTTCAAGTGGAAAAACGACATTAGCAGGATTGGGAGTGGAAGCAGTGTTCAAGTTAGTACAGGGATGTATCATCCCAAGGACCCCATCTCAGAAGGTACCCTGAGTATGCTTTCAACGTCATTTCTTACATACCCACTTGTATGTATTGAAGAAAATCCTGCGAAAGTCTCACTTCTGTGTAGGGAGCTGCAGCGTTCTTGTTTTTTTTTTTAATTAAATACCTATTTCAGTTTATAGAAAAACACTATAAAAACATCAGTGAGTTTTTCTCAACTACTTACCCACATGTATTTCTCAAGGTGCGGTATTTTAAAGTTTTGGTGGTAAAGTTTTCTACCCAAATACTTAAACCCTCACCGTAGACTCAGGGTTACATGAGTTAGCTGTTGGCATCGCACAAAAATGTATTAAACTGATTCTTGCTTTCAAAGGTAGTCATGGGTAAAGTAATATAATAATAGAGAACAATACATTATTATGTGAATTACTGGGCATGCCAGATTATTTGGGAGAAAAAGGAGATTAATAGGTGGGCAGTTAAAGTTTTTTGGAATAAGTAGGCCTTTAGTTGAAGCATGTACCTTATTTGGACAGGAGGACTGTCCTTTTCGCCCTTTCTAATTAGTACTTTCACTGTTGTGAGAATTAATCATTGAATTTCTTTCTGAAGAACATCAGCACCATAATGGCCATAGTGGGAATATCATTACTTCTAAGAAGTGTACGGCTGGTAAGTTAAACAATGAACAAGACATTATGAGGAACAATAAACAGTTACTTTTTTCTCACTTCAGTTTTTATCTCAAGCAGTGAGGCATTTTGTTATTCATATTAGAAACTTTAAATAGTATTTTAGGACAATGAACAATTAAGATCTTGTTTAACAGTAACACATCCACAGTATTTTTTTATGGCAAGTAATTGCACAGCTTGTATTTTCATAATCACTTTCTTCATGGTTAAAAAGGAATCTGAAAAGGATTTAGCTTGTTAGGATGGTATAATTACTAAATTTGCATTTCTGACATTGTGGAATATCTCAAAACTCGTTTCTATAGCAGTTTTAGATTTAGATCATAGTTAAATTATGTTCCTCTGAACTGAAAAATTTATGCTTCCTCTAATTTGCAACAGTCTTTAAGATCAGTAGTGCAATGAATAAAGCAACTTGCACAGTATAAAAAATAATTTATGCTTTCAGTTAGCATATTTTTTTTGCACTTTCAATACTGTTTTAATAATAAACCGGTTTGGCTCAGTGGATAGAGTGTCAGCTTGTGGACTGAAAGGTCCCAGGTTCGATTCCTGTCAAGGGCATGTACCTTGGTTGCAGGCACATCCGCAGTAGGGGATGTGCAAGAGGCAGCTGATTGATAATTCTCTCTCATCCATGTTTCTAACTCTCTATCCCTCTCTTTCCCTCACTATAAAAAAATCAATAAAATATATTTAAAAAAATAATAAACACTTTGTGGAAATACATTTGACATTTCAAGACTTACAAGTTTTTTGTTTTTTTTTTAAATAACTGTACTTGCTATAGGATGTAATTTTAATGTCGTGTTGCAATTTGGCATGGATTTATTGTTCCTGTATATATTTCCTACATTTATTATTTAGATATTGTTTTATATTATCAATGACTACATAGCATTACTATACTACATCTTTTCCAACTATTGCCTTTCTCCCCTAATTCCATGTCATCACTTGTATCCTCAGTGCTTTGAACTTACTTACTATCAATTCTTTTTAGAGAGAGAAAAAGAAAAAGAAACATCAGTGTGAAAGAGAAACATTAATCAGTTGCCACCTGTTTGTGCCCTGATCTGAGATCAAACAACTTAGGTATATCCTCTGACAGAATCAAACATGCAACCTTTCAGAGTAGAAGACAATGCTCTGAGTCCAAGCCAGTTATTTTGTAGAATGTCCCACTGTCTGTGTGTGTGTGTTTCCTCATTAGATTTAATGTGAACAAGAAGGTGGTGTATACTTTTTATTATATTGCATCAAGAAGCTCATTAATGCCTGTGTGTACTATAATATTATGACACATAATTTAATTAATAATCCCTTAGTATTTCAGACTCCATCAATATTAAAATTTCTTTGATTGTCTCAGTAATGTCTTTTTTTAGGTAGATGAGTTATTCAAATCAGGATTCAGATGGTCCAGAAATTGTGCTTGTTTGTTAAGTCTCATTTATTTTATAACAATTCACCATCCCTATTTTTCTCATCAAGCCATTGATTTGTTAGAAGAGTCATTTGTCCCATTGAGTGTTCCACATGCTGAATTTGTCTGCTACTATATTTTTCTTGTGTGTAACTCTTTTGGGTAATGTTTAATTCAACTTTACTCTCTTAGGAAGTTGGGTACTAATTTATCCTACATATGAGAAGCTCTTGGTTAGCCATGATTATGAATGAAGCTCATCCCTGTGTCCCTATAGTATTGTTAATGTGGAACATATAGGTATAAAATATTGACTAACTCTAGGGCTTTAAGTATTTAATTAAATTTCTAATGTTGGCCTTTTTTGTGTAATTTTTCTCCTATGAGATAAAAAAATAAGTAAAAAAAGTCTTGTTGATTAAAAGTTCTATTTTAATTTGACTCAGCTTGGTTTAGGTTTTCCCAGCAGTACTTGTCTGAGTAGATTACACATCTGTGGAATAGGATAGTGACTATTTAACCAGACTTGTGTGGTGCAAGATACAGATATATACTCATTATACTCACTTCTTTTTGATGAATTGTGTTACATCTTGAGGATGTAAACTTTTAGAAGTTAGGAATCTGTTCAATGAGCACTGTATAGTAGCTTGAAATAGTAAAATGGTGACAAAGATTTCTAAAGAATGTCCCTATAGCCGAAACCGGTTTGGCTCAGTTAATAGAGTGTCTACCTGTGGACTGAAGAGTCCCAGGTTCGATTCTGGTCAAGGGCATGCACCTTGGTTGCGGACACATCCCCAGTGGGGGGCGTGCAGGAAGCAGCTGATCAATGTCTCTCATTGATGTTTCTAACTCTCTATCTCTCTCCCTTTCTCTCTGTAAAAGATCAATAAAATATATATATATTTTTAAAAAGAATGTCCCTATAAACACTTTTGATTAAATCATATTAAATGTTAATATAAAATTAAGAACCAAATAAAAATTTTTCAATGGCTGTCTTCTTGGTAAGTGTGTAAGGAATAATTTAACACAATTTTAAAGTGAAAATAATAACAAAATGTATTTTTCTCCTTGTAAATCATTAGACATCAAAATTTACAAGTTCTTCAGACATCCCACTAGAATTTATAAGAAAGAATGTTAAACTACGTGGACGATTACGCCGAATAACTGAGAATGGATTAGAAATTGAACACATTCCTATTACTTTACCTATTATATCTTCGTGGAGAAGTAAGTAAGGTGCAAGTATAATAAAACTAAATAACTATTGTAGTGTTCTTTTATTAGAAGCTGTCAGAGGATGTGCGTGGGAATGGGCTTGGCTTTTGTGAAGCCATATGAAGACTCGAGTGGCCAGGGCACAGGGAAGAAGGGGACAAGGGGTACTGAGGAGATTGGAGAGCTGGGCAGGGGCTGGTTCTTTCCTGCTGAAATTCTGTTGTGGAGACTGAAGTAGGTTTTTGAAATTATTCCATCTGTTATATACTTGTCTTATTTTAAAAGAAAACTTGAGTATAGAAATAAATAGACTTACATCTAGAGAATCTGGATATTTATACATGAGCATAATATATTCAATTGTGGGGTTTTTTTTTTGGGGGGGTGGTAAATTATTTTGAAATTTGCATTCACAACACGGTATTAAAGCTACACTCTTCTCTACCTAACCTTTTCAGAAGAGCCCAGTGGGGCTTTGCTGGTTAAGCTGGCTGGAGTAGAACTCACCACATCTGGGAAGATGTGGTTACAAAAAGAACTAAAACCTTCCCAACTACTGTGGTTCCAGCTTCTTGGAAGGGAGAACTCAGTCCTCTTTTGCTACCTTTTAGTGAATAAGGTAAGTAGTGTGAAGAAATAATAAGCAATATTTTGTTCTTTTTAGTGACACATTAATATGCCATTAATTAGAACATTGGCCATATAATGGGACTGAATATTTTTGTCTTTTAAAACTGCTACTCATAGTGATTATTTTTAGAGAATCAGGTGTTTCATATGTAAATTCTGTTATAAAGTTTTAGTTATATATGTTTATTATCAAAAATAGAAATTTAAGATAAAGGAAAAATTTTAAATTATTCACTCTTAAACATTGGTAATGTAAGGAGAAGCTTTTTTTTTGAGTAGTTTTTCTTAGTTTTAAAGTCCCTTATTGTATAATAAACAAGAGTAATTTGAAGAAACAATAACCTTACATTAAAGTGATTAAAATCCCCGCTGATGTGGCTCAGTGGTTGAGTGTCGACCCATGAACCAGGAAGTCCCAGTTCAATTCCAGGTCAGGGTACATGCACAGATTTTGGGCTTGATCCCCATTGGGGGCTTGCAGGAGGCAGCTGATGGATGGTTCTTCCTCATCATTGATTTTATAGCTCTCTCTCCCTCTTGCTTCCTCTCTCTGAAATAAATAAAAACATTTTTAATAAATGATTAGAATGGTAACTATTTGAATTCTTTAGTTTTTGAATTATTTCTAGAAAAGCCTAATGCAATTCATTATTTTTTGCATGTCGAGATCATATTCATTTCTATTAAAATAAGAATTAACCAGAGCATCTTGCGTTTAAAAGTAAATGGATGACACAAAATTATATGAGAGATGCCAAAGGCATTTCAAAATATTATCTTCTCTTTTTAATTAAGGATTATATTTTATTTATCTTCACAATCACCCTATAGAGTCACTGTTTTTATTCCCATTCACAGATGGTGATAACATTGTAATAACCTGGCTATTATTTTTAACAGAAAAGGAAGGAAGGGAAGTCTAAGTAACATAGGCATGCCTTTTTTTTATGTATTTTATTGATTTTTTACAGAGAGGAAGAGAGAGGGATAGAGAGTTAGAAACATTGATGAGAGAGGAACATCGATCAGCAACCAAGGTACATGCCCTTAACTGGAATGGAACCTGGGACCTTTCAGTCCGCAGGCTGACGCTCTATCCACTGAGCCAAAGCAGTTTTGGTATAGGCATGCCTTTTATACAGCTTTGCCAAAAAGTTTCATTTAACACTCCCAAGTCTGTCCCCAGCTGAACCATGGGGGATGGGACAGTTGAGAAATATGTCCAGTAAAGTTCTGAGTGACATGGGAAGGTGCTTTCCTGCCAATCACATCTGGGAACAGGTAATTGGCCAGAATAGGCATGGCCACTACAAGTGCTCCCAACCTGAAAATTTAAACTTCCAAACAAAGGAAGTTCCTTACTTCTCTCTTTTCTTCTCTGGCGCCCCGTTCAGGGCTCTTCTGTGGCAGGGGTGTGCTCCCCTGCCCCCATGTGGTTCACAGCCACGTGGCACTCCACAAGGGATTAATGGACTTGAATGAACTTGGATGCTAAACAGCACGAGGCTACAACATGGAATGGAAACTCTAGACACTGGCCTTGCTTCTGGCTTTGCTGGAATCCCAGCTACACCTTTCCCAGGACTGGCTTAAGGGGCAGGGGACCTTACAACTGGAGAAATGCAACTTTATGCAAATAAGTCCTCTTCCACATCCCATCCTCCCCTGGGGGCTTCTGAAAATGCTTCTTTCAGCTGACTCCCAAGAACCTCATTCCCACTTGTGTCTGGGAAATCTGGCCCATTAATTCTTCCTGCAATAATGGGAGCCGAGACCAGTTTGGCTCAGTGGATAGAGCGTCGGTCTGCGGACTGAAAGGTCCCAGGTTTGATTCCAGTCAAGGGCATGTACCTTGGTTGCGGGCACATTCCCAGTAGGCGGTGTGCAAGAGGCAGCTGATTGATGATTCTCTCTCATAGATGTTTCTGACTCTCTATCCCTCTCTCTCCTGCTCTGTAAAAAATCAATAAAATATATTAAAAAAAAAAATAATGGGAGTCAGGGTAACCAACCTGGATTCAAACCCAGCTCTTTCTGGCCCCTGAGCCCACACTTCACCTTGTATATTTTATCTTATATTGCTTTCTAGCAGGTGACCAAACAGTGCTATATGTATACTGTGGTAATTTACACATCTGTTGAATTTTACTAATGTGTGAGGTTGAATTATAATTATTCTGATTTTGGCTTAAGGGAATGAGCTCTTAAAAAAAATGATTGAGAAAAATATGGTAAACATTTAAAAATTGTACTTATGAACTCCTATACCAAAAGTTACTGTATTTATTTTGTGGGATTTTTTGTTGTTAATCTTCACCTGAGGATATTTTTTTCTATTGATTTTTAGAGAGTGTGGAAGGAAGGAGGAGAGACAGAAACATTGATGTGAGGGAGACACATCAATTGGTTGCCTCTCATATGCACTCTAACCTGATCCAGCCTGCATTTAAGATACATGCCCTTGACCGCAATTGAACCTGCTTCTCTTCAGTCCAAGGGCCAATGCTCTGTGCACTGAGCCAAACCAGCTAGGGCAAAAATTACTGTATTTAAAGGAGCAACAGGATACTTTTTCTTTAGAAATACCTAGAAAACCTTTCCTACTTTAAACTTGGAGTTTTCATATTTTTAGAATTTAACTGTAAATTACTTGTCTAACAGAGCTATGAAATTAATAATAATTTGTTAAAATCCCACAAGGAATATAAAAATAGCTAATCAGGATCTCCTTTACTTTGTAATTTTGTAACTTAAAGAGGGGTATGGGGAGAGGAAATCCCATTTATCCCGTTTCACTGGAAAATGAGGGATTCCACTAATGAAATTTTCTGAAGGGTGAAGATTCCAGGTCAGGCCTATTTTTATGTTAATTATTTTGTGGAAAGTCTTTAAAAAATTCATTTACATGCTAGTGCCTTCCAAAACGCTAGAATTCTGAACCTAACTTAATATTTTCATGACGATTCAGTTCATTTTGCATTTGCTTACTTTTTTTTAGTTTCTTTTACTGTGACCTTCTGTCATTTTGCCTATCTTGTATGATCCATTCCTCTATGAAACAACAAACAAACAAAAAAACACCTGCTTTTTATACATTTTACTGCTTCTAAGCCTCTTCGGGTTAGAACATGAGGCTGTAGAGAGTGATATGTTAAAAAACAGGCCATTGACTTTGAGCAGTTATCTCTTCTATGATAGTAATGAAATTCTTGGATAATCAATTAGCTGTTTTAAGCCTTTGGGGACCCTTTTGCTTTTTGGCTTTTCTCTTGAGAACTAAAGTTGCTGAATGACTCAATTTAAAATAAATAGATGGTATGGGCATACTAGCAATTTTCTTAAATAATTGGTTTGTGTTATTTTTCATTCCAGGGTAGATTTTTTAATGTGAATCTAAATGAAGACATTTTGAGAAGAGGCCTTGGCAAAACTGTTCTTGTTCAAGGACTAGATCATGATTCTAAAATGTATTGGAAAATTCACAGACGCTTACTGAAAGCTGAATTAAAAGCCTTAAAAAAGGGAGAAGGAATATGGAAGGAAGAACATGAAAAAAAATCTTATTTGGAAAAATTCAAAGGCTCCTGGGGAGAATATTGGAAAAAAGATAGTTATTTTTAAAAAATTGGATCAGATTTCAACCTGAAAAAAGAAAGTTATTATGACAAATTTAGAAATACTTATGAAGCATGGAAAGACAACTCCTTAATACTGAAGTTCAGAGAACTTATGAGTCGAATACACTTTCGTAGGAAAGGGTGAAATATTTCAAGAGGTCTAGAGGTGACCTACTCTGAAAAGAGTAAAATATGTAACTATATGGACATATTTCATTGAGTTGAAATGGGAATTTCCCAAAATGATCAAAGTTGTATTTTCATGGTATTTAAATATCTAACAGATGATTGTTCTAAAGGTGACATCAGAATAATTTAAACAAAATGTGATTGATGTAATACGCTTTTAGGAAAAATGAAACACTATAAAAATGTACCAGGTTGGGGAATATACATGTTGTACTGGTATTTGAAGAGAGAGTTTACTTCTATTGCTCATTGTGTTCTTTTTAGTTATCTTGGGCAGCCATATTTAAGTTTTTTTAAAAAGAGTATTTCTTCCAGTTTTACCAACTTTGATTATTTATAATAAAGGAGCTGCTCTTTACTCTCTGCTTACTGTTTTTAATTTGGGGCAGTTCTGTTAGAGAAGTTCATTCCATTCCTAATTTTAAAAAAAAGAATGGTGCTGAGACCGGTTTGGCTCAATGGATAGAGAGTCGTCTTGGGGACTGAAGGGTCCCGGGTTCGATTCCGGTCAAGGGCATGTACCTTGGTTGTGGGCGTATCTCCAGTAGGGGGTGTGCAAGAGGCAGCTGATCGATGACTCTCTCTCATCGATGTTTCTAACTATCTCTCTCCCTTCCTCTCTGTATAAAATCAATAAAATATATTTTTTAAAAAAAGAATGAAAAATGTCTACCTCAAGGACAAAATCTTGAGGATAATTATGAAGAAGAATCGTGACGATAAAAAACAATATGCTTAGGATGGCAGCAGAAAATAGAAAGAATAGAGATGCCTTATGACATTGTTGAACTCCTAACATCACCAATCCTTGAAAGATCTTACCTCCCAACTTCTCATTATGTGAAATAATAAATGTGTTTATTTGAATGCCAGTTTGTTGCTTTGAGGATTTGGCACATACCTGCTGCTAAAATCATCCTGACAATACTTTGTTTACAAAGCCAACAATAATCCCCTACATCCACAATGTCTACAGATCTTTCTTTCTTTCTTTCTTTCTTTCTTTCTTTCTTTCTTTCTTTCTTTCTTTCTTTCTTTCTTTCTTTCTTAATATATATTTTATTGAATTTTTTATAGAGAGGAAGAGAGAGGGATAGAGAGTTAGAAACATCGATGAGAGAGAATCATCGATCAGCTGCCTCTTGCACACCCCCTACTGCGGATGTGCCCGCAACCAAGGTACATGCCCTTGACTGGAATCGAACCTGGGATCTTTCAGTCCACAGGCTGACGCTCTATCCACTGAGCCAAACCAGTTTCGGCATACAGACCTCTTTCTTAATGATATGTAGTAACTGACAAAAGTCAGAAGCATCATCTAGTTCAAATTGTTGACTCCTTGAGAAGCAATAATACAGAGTGTGAAGTTTGCTGCTGCTGCTGCCTGGTTAAAATATAACAAAATGGATTTCCCAACATTAATTTTTAAGTGAGGTCACACATTTTTCAAAGATTTTCTTTGTGTGTGTGATTTGATTTCATCACCTTTGGGGTAGAATAAGATGTTATGTTACTGGCCAAAACCGGTTTGGCTCAGTGGCTAGAGTGTCGGTCTGCGGACTGAAAGATCCCAAGTTTGATTCCGGTCAAGGGCATGTACATTGGTTGCAGGCACATCCCTGATAGGGGGTGTGCAAGAGGCAGTTGGTCGGTGATTCTCTCTCATCGATGTTTCTAACTCTCTATCCCTCTTCCTTCCTCTCTGTAAAAAAAAAAGAAAGATGTTATGTTACTGATTCAAGGTTCAGGTGCCTGATGGTTTAGAAGGTCAACGTTCAAAATGTCAGTTGGAGTAAAGAAAGGTTTATTAATCGAGAAGGTGCCAGTTTAAGGAGCTGGGGCCTTTAAACCCTCTGCAAATCCATTTTATAAGAGCCCAGAATTTAGGCTTCTTTTACGTGACAGGAGGGAAAACGGGCAGACCAAGAGTTGGGTCACCTAAGCCCCAACAGGGATCAAAAAAAGAGCATGAAATCTCTAAATCTTTCTGTTCCTGGTCTCTTTGATCCCTGCTAATCTGAGTCTGATCTTGAGGCTCCTGCAAATCCTTGCCAAAAGCTCCAGCCTCAAGCAGAATTCCCTTCATAATGATCATATCTGTAATTATATGCAGGAACCATCCTCCTGAAGGCCATGGGAAAAGCGCAGGCTAGAATTAAGCGCAGAGAGAGCACAAGCATTTCAGTCTGTGAGAGTTATATACTATTTTTTTATTTTTATTATCTGGGTCTGAAGCCTCAATTGCTCTTGCTTTTGTATTAAGGGGATGTTTTTATTTATGGAGAAATTAGCAGTATGTTTAGACAAGTTTTGTGGCAAGCTTTTGAGCACTTTGTATTTCCAGTTTGCTTCCAAGTGATGTCAGATCTCATCCTAGTTACCACTTTTAGCAGCTCAGCCAGTGTTCAATTGTCTTTCCAGTTAAGCCAGATAAAAGTTAAGTGGTGCAGGTCTTTCTAGATGATAGGTCTAACCTTTTCCTTGACGATAAGGTAAGGAACTGATTTTATGGACAAAGTGGGCAAGAAGAAAAATAGATCAATGGGACTCCTGTCATGTGCAGTCACCGTTTGCGGAATGTTCTTGCTCTCCACTTAAACAGTGGCAAGGTTAATATCTACTTGAAGGTTAGGAAGAATCCCATTGGCCTGTAGCTTTTATCAGGACCAACAACCTCTGCTTTTCTGTTTTTTTGTCTCTGGTGCCTATTGTAGATAAGCTTGTTTGATGGCACAAGAGCAAGGTGAACTAGATACTTGCAGAGAAGCTAGATCTTTGTCACTGGAGATGTTTATGAGAGGGCCATTTGAAAAAGTGGAAACTTTTCTTTTAGGCTGAATTTCTGACGAAAGCCCCAGTTCTTTGCCGTTCTCAAACAGAGGATTTACTATTTCTTGGTCTCCCTCCTGACTTCAAAACAGAATCCATAACCACTTTCCCCCTTGGCCTTCCTTCCTTTGACATTTGGGTATCTAGGCCCCTTTACTTTATATATATATATAATGAAATGAATTTAGTTCTTGTTGTTTTTCTAAAGGATTGGGTTTTTATGACCCGTATCAATCTATTTTCTTCTAGATCCACATTTCCTTTCTCAGGTTTTATTTGTTTTTCATTTCCTAACCAGGCTTCTTATGCATGAGATGTTGACAGCAATGCCAGCTTTAGCATAACTAATGATGAATAAAACTTAGGAGGAGAGTAAAAACTGTGCCCTTACACATGATTATGATTGGGCAGCTGAAAGCATATTCTAGCAACCAAGGGAAAACAGACAACCAGGGCCTCCTTACCCTTTGCCTTCTATGTGTTGCATTGATGTTTCTGTAGGTTCCATCCATGGAACAGGTGTGCACATGCTGGCTCTTCTCTGGCACGTGTGGTAGTTATTGTTCCATGAGGGCTTTCAAGTGGTTCCCTATCCTAGTCCCTTCTCTTGGGAGATAGTCTTAGCTTTCTCTCCCCACCTACTTAACTCCCAGGGGAATCCAGTCTAGAGCCTATTACTTCTGGATCCCCTACCATCTGGGATGGCAAGGACACATGAGTTTGCTTGTGGAAGGCAACTGGACCGTAATCACTCCACTCGCAGGTATCCTCCACTATGTTGGGAGGAGGGATATATTAGCAATCTGGCTTCAGTCCTGCCACTTCCCATGGAGTTAGTTCAGCTTACAGGAAGTTCATGTATTTGTATAGTACTAAGTGGGAATATAGGCTCTCCACCGGGTACTTCCTCTCTCTTGCTTCCCTCTTTTTGTCATGCTTCTTTCTCTTTGTCTCAGGAAAGTGAGGTGCTGGCAGGTCTAGTAGCATAGCAAATGTTAAGAGATAATCACTATTTCCTAACTTACTGAAAACAGACTATATGGTGCCCTCAGTCTTGTAGAAAAGGAAGTGAAGTGCTAATGTCAAATCCTCCTCCCCTATGTGAAGGGGAGAGAGAAGGGGTGGTTGCTGCCCCACAAACTCTCAGTTATCTCGGACCTCTTATGTCTCTTGGTTGTGAAACCTTCTCAATCAGCTTACCTTTCCCACTAGTTGGGGAATCTGCTGCCAGAAATGCCATCTTTAAAAAACTTGACTCAAAATATTAGTCATTGATTCCAAAAGTCAGACTTTCTCTCACATATTCCTGGACTATGTGGTAACTCCGAGTGTGGTAAAGATGTGAGGTGGTCCTAGCCAGTTTGGCTCAGTGGATAGAGCCAAACTGTGGACCAGGTTCAATTCCAGTCAATGTGTTTCCCTCACATCGATGTTCTGTCTTTCCATCTCCCATTTACTCTCCCTAAAAATCAATGGGAAAATATCCTCTGGCAAGGATTAGCAAAAAAATATTTTTTATGATGTGAGGTGATTAATGCAGTGACCAGTACTTCAAACCAACCTAGTACATTTGGTTTAGGAGAATTAACTGCATCTGCAGCAGGTAGATAATGCTTGGCCCAGAGTTTTAGCCTCTTCTGGATTTCTCCAGCATCATCTGGTTCCTCATCAAGGTGAGTTTGCATCTTTGACATGTGAGTTTCTCCTGGGGTAACGTTACTCCATGTGCTGTCAGCAGGCATTTTGTTGTCAGAATCTGACCCAAATCCAGTGGTTGTTTATGGCATTGATTTGAAGACAGTGGCTTTTCATAAAAAGACAACATGGTTCAAGAAGCCAAGAAACAGCAGTATTTCAGAAGTTCAAGGCACCAACAGAATCACTTGCATAAGACAGATACGCTAAGGAGCAGCAGCAGCTGCAGGGATAAGCTGGAATGGAGATGGGGTCCCTGCTCTTTTTGTAGTGTGGGGAGGAGAAGTTTTC